TTTTTTTTTTTTTTTTGCGCTTTGAGTTGCGAGCGAAAATTTGAGATATGAGCCCCGCATGCCGGCAATGAACTGGGCTCCGTTCGCTTCACAACCAGTGGCAGTTTGACAGATTGTGATCAATTCCCCCCGCACCCCCACCCAAAAAAACCCACATGCATGGACACCTTAGAAAAGTCCCGATCTTAATACGGGCATAAAAATGATGTGCGATATGAGCGTTTTGGCTGACACGTATCGTCAAGGAATGAATTAGACCTGAATCTCAAGGCACCACTGAATCCATTTTTATCGGGGTTCTTTTTTTGTGCCGCTGCCCCAAAAGTGTAGAAGCGATAGCAATGAGGAAACATGGGACGGTGAACAGGAAATACAATTTGGTCGTGATGAAAACGGTACTCATTTTGAAATGAACTTGCCACCGGTGCATTGGACTGCGTCAACAAGATGCTAAGCTCGCTAGCTGTCCTCTTGTTATCCCCTCATCAAGCAGAACATTAAAATGTGATTCCGGCTAAGTGGCTTGACAAGAGAAACTTTTGCACCATGTCAAAAATAACAAGCGTGACAGGAAGGAAGCGCATTCGGCATGCCGACGTAACTGGCATCACAAATGATCGGGGTGGGGGGTGGGGGGGCGGGTCGCAGTCATGCGGATGGAGAAGAAAATGGTCGACTTACGCGCAGGTCCGTGACTGCTGGGAATACCTGAGGAAAGAATGCAAGAGCAACGTTTCAGTTTCATTTGTAAAACATGTCAAGTCCATTTAGTGGAAAGAGGTTCTCGTTCAATTAAAAAGTGACTTTTTCTTAAAAAAAATGCCCCCTTTAAATGGAAAAGTCGCGTACGTTCTAATACCTGAATGTAAGAACGCTCATTGCGTTGCCACCTGCCTGACGAACAATCGCCGTGATGAAAGAGGAAGACCCTAATGACAGATGAGCGCTATTAAGGCCTAATTACATTCTGCCCGCTCAGCGTATTTGTCTTCATACGAGGACGCGATATGTTTAATATTCCCGTCAGAAACACTAATGGGTTATAAGGCGCGGGGAATAGGAATAATCCAAGACAAAAATAAATTCATTCGGCACCTCAGGCTGGGGGGGGGAGAGCAATATTGTTTCGTCACTTCCATGTGCGACATTATTGCATTTTACGCGGCTGCCAAATAAGCACTAATATTGCTTTTGAAGCGGCGAGATCCGGGCTTCATCACTTCACTACAGATGCGGCCATGCATTCAGATTTTTTTTTTTTTTTTAATAACGGCCTGTCAATCCACGGCGCAGCGGGTGCAAGGTGAACCCGGCAATATCTCCTCGGATTTCCGCCGCCGCCGCCGCATCGCATGATGTCGCATGTACAACAACAAAGAGACGCCATATCCTCCAGAAGAAACCGCCGGAGACGACAGCGCTCGCGTTTCCTGACACAAAATCGCAGATCGATCGGGAACGCGATACGGGCGATCAAACGGCGCGTCTCGCATCGCCGCGAGTGTCACGACGGCAAAGGCTGAGTCAGTGTGAACACATGAGCAGCGGGGCCGGATCCTTTTTTTTCCGCCATCTGGCCGAGCCCGCCTGTCCCCACCGGCAGCGCATCCCCGAGTGACGAGATGAGATTTATAGAGGCAATGAGATTTGGGATTTGATGAATGTGACTCAAGTCCCATCCAAGATCATCATGTGGATCATGCAAAAGAGCACCTTCTGCCTGCGCACGGGCAGGAAAAAAACGGGCGGCGTTTCAAGTGGACTCTCGACGGTGAAATTGGCGTTCGATCGCTCGTGAACGCATGAAAAAATGAAGATGAATTGATTCAGCAGAAAAGAAAGGCAGCTATGGGAATGATGTGACGGCAAAACCAAAATCCCTCACGGCGATTTTTCAGAGGAGGATCTCGACGACAACAGCAAAAGTCGCTTTCTTTTTCTTTTTTTTTTTTTTGTATCTCAGTGGCGACATAATGAATGGTGGAGGAATGATTAGCGCACCTGCCTCACAGTTTCTCAGGTCTGGTGCTTGAATTAAACACTTGATATTGTCCGGTGGAGTGAACGAAATCAAGCTTTCAGTCAGGTTTCAAAAGGTTCGGATTACCGTTTTAGAGTGGATTGATTTTTAACACTGTATGTAGCGTCTCGGAAATGAAACTTTTCCCGCTTGTCTTTCAAATCTGTGCCGACAACATTTTCAATGGGCAAAATGGAGTTTTGTCTGCGGAGCATCACAAACACAGTCCCTTTAGATCTTTTTTTTTTTTTTGGACTGGCTAACTTTTGGGGCGGATGATGAAACGACAAGTGTGAATGTTGAAGGAACAGTACCAAAGGCTCACACCTTGTGTCTCGTTTGTTTGATTTGACTTTGGTCGGGAATGGCGTCCCGGCCTACAGACGTGAAAGGATCCGAAAATGCCTCATTCCTTTTCTGATGAATTGATGCCAATATTCCAGAGCGACTTCCTTCTTCGTCCGAACTTTTCCCCGATTTGTGGTCGCTGTTCTTATGGATGGATGCCCTTTCTGACTCCATCCCTCTCTATTCATAGATTTAAGGAGTGGGTCTTGCTTCCCTCGCCCCAGAGGATCGGATCATCTTCTGCCACCTGGTATTCCAGGTTGGTCTCCAATCCAGGTCTGAAACAGTTTTGCTTCCAAGTTTAGATGAGATCAGATTCTCGCGGACAAATTCAGTGAAGGATCGCGCGGCTTTTGCGCGATGTTAAGCGGTAAAAAGGGGAGCAAACAGATCGCATCTAATCCACGAAGGACGCGCAGATGGTGACATGAGTCACAAACTGAGATAGCAAGCAGAATGCGTCTCGCTGCGCCTGTGGTATTTGCGCGTATTTAGACGAGCTAATACGCATATATTTGTTGGAGAAATTTGCCAAATTGATAAACGTTTACTTCACGAAGGCGAACAGCGATACACGCAGTTTGATTGACAGCTAGAAAAAAGCAGGGGGAAAAATTGGCGCTACTTAATCAGGGAGAAAACCAGGCGAAAACTGTTTGCGCTCGTCTGTCACGAGCGCCATATCCTTTGTGAATAAGAATAACGGCGCAAAATGCGGGTGTCAATGAAGAGCACTTAAAAGTGCTCTCAGCGGCCGCACTTCATTCATTCTTTGTGGATTTGGCCTTCGGAGTCGCACGGCTGCCGAGAGCTCGCGGCTCGTTACATCATCAATATAAAATCCATACATCGCCGTAGGCGTCTTTGTTTACAAAGTAGCTTGGAACTAGGGTTCACTTGATTCTTGATGCTAGTCCCGCACCGGTTTTGTGGACTACAAAAAGCACACAGATCCAAGAACCGGTGCTAATTTTGCCTCTGAACTAGCTATGCCACCAGCTCGAGGTGAAAGGGCGACGCGTTAGCTGTAGAAAGATCAGTCCTTGTTCATGTCAAGTTGTTGTGAAGTAGCTGGGGCGCTACCACGAGCCTTTGGAAGAGCTTTTCCAAACTTGACTGCAAAACTTCATCGCAAACCGCAACATATCCATCAGAAAATGTTCTCCTAACTGAGCAACTTTTGCCCTTTCATTTGATTTCCTGCCCAGCCACCAGTTGATTCGCGCGGCGGATGCTTGTTGGCGTCGCCGCGACCCACTAGGGGGTGAGGCGCACGCTTGCTTGGACGTGACAAGAAGGCCCATATTGGGTGTGACTCAGTACGACAACAACAAGGATGACTAAGCGGGGGATCTGAGACCCAGATCAGATGGTTTCGCTTTCCACAAACATCGCCATGGTGACGCCAGGAACAGCTGCTCGATGTAACCAGACCGGTATCCATGGTGAAGGACGGCAATGCACTTACATATATTGGCGGTTCCTTTGGGTATTGGGAGGTAGGAACCCACGCTCCAGGCTCGGCCGTGGTAGTGCCTCTTGCAGCGGCTGCAGTCGGGCCCCGTGGTGTTGTGCTCACACTCGCAGCCCAGCTTCCCCTTGTCAAACACGCAGCTGTTGGCGTGCAGGTTGCACTTGCACCTGAGACGGAGAGAGAAAGCACAGCGCACAAGACGGTCGCCCGAGGAATCCATGGCAGGAAAGAAAAAAAAAAAAAAGTGGCTTTGTTTTGACATTGCTAAATCGAAATCCTGGTTGAGTTGTTTGACTCGGATCAAAGCTCGATTATTCTTCCCTTTGGAGAGAGGGGGGGGGGGGAAAGAAAAGAGAGCGACAAGGCCTCATTTGTCAGTGCCTCTGCGAAGAGAACAGGGGCGGCGAAATGAAAGGCGCTCTTTGCTGAGCGAGCATCAAACAGGGATCTGATTGAGCGGCGATGGCTTGAAAATCAGCTCGACTTACCCTGTTTTGACGAAGATCTTGAAAGGTTAGAACTGCCGTGAGGGAAAACGGTCTAAGGGCAGGTGACCGTCCGCTCAATTTGACACCCTACCCTTCGACCCAGAGCATCGGGGCGCCGCCTGTTTTGTTTTTAACAAAGGGCTGGAGCGCAAAGGCGCCCATCATCTGAGACGAGCTTGGTTATGTGATGCCGGCCAACACGAGAGGGAAAAATGACAGCGGCGGTCCAAAATCCATCCATTCTAATTGACTTCCTGGCCTCGCGGTGACGGCTCACGTTAATGATAGATCACCGAAAGGGAGAAGGGGGAAATGTACAACCTGCAGCGTGGAAAGGACGTGGCTGCTAAATGACCGTCGACGATAAAAAGCACACTGCAGATGTGTGGCTTCATTTATAAGACATGATCATCAATTGTGCATGAGATGGTATTTTACATTGTGGACCGGGCAGTTACTTTCTCTTTTTTTATCTGTTTGACTTCAAACCATGACATGGAAATGAACAACTTTACCGAAAACTTGAAGAGGAATTAAAAACGCGGTTAATACAGTGTTGCCTGACTTTTCTTAGGTGATACGTTTTCATGATCGCGCGATGGGTGAATTTCCGCAAAGTTTTTTTGCGGTTGCTATAGCCCGTCTCATACCGCAAAATTCTCCAAAGTCCATCACTTTTTAATCAATGGAACCCCCCCCGGTGCCCACCACTACGACCATGCTCTACGAAATTAATGATTGGGTGTCGCCCTTCTGCCACACAGACAGCAGTCGCTCCCTGAAGTCGAGAGCGATTAGAGTTGACCTTCCATTTAATTAAAAACCAGCGAAATCTGGATCATCTGGCCTCAACTGGTGCGGTGAGAGAATGTGGAGTCCAGTGGGTGAGGATTGCAGCGACTGGATGCTTTTGCCGCTGGCACTGTCATTAAAAAAAAAAAATATATATATATATATATATATATATATATATAAGTGCAGTACTGTATATCTTGCTCTATGTGACTCGCTGTTGTTTATATATATATATATATATGAGTTTTTCTTATCCCCTATTTGGCACACGGGAGCAAGAGCACCGCTTTTGAATAATGACATTTATATAGTTAAGGTGACCTTAAAGTCCCTTTTCAACAGTGGACAAGTACAACAGAGGGATTCGACCTTTGTGCTAAAATTAGAATATATCCCACAATCCCAAGCGTTCAACCAGAGCGGTGGGCTGTGTCGCTTTTTTTCATCGCAAATGCTGGTACGTTGTTAAGTGTTAATTACCGGATTAGTTTACGTCACTGGAAGTTTTTAGTGGACTTTGACAATCTTTGGCGATGGAGTAAAATGAGACTTTCGAAAGGCAGACGAGTGCGGAGAATATTCCATTTGATTCAAGATTTGGATCCTTGTTCGAAAACAAAAAAATCATTGGAATTATTTCGAGGCTTGTACTGCACGTGTGTGTGTCCATTTTTGGAAATTATGGACGTATTGGAAAAAAATTACAGTTTTGTCTGTAACTTGTTTTTAAGGTTCGAGTTTGGTTTCCGTTCAATCCAGTGATGGAACGTAATGCTTAAAGAGGAACAGGAAAAAAAAAATACAATGACATTTAAAATCATAACATGACTAACTGACAATGACTTCCTGCAGCTACACAATAAGCGCTAATACCAACGTACAATTCAATTGAAAACAATGTCAGGCGCTAAGATAATTTTGTCCATTAGGGGTCGACATCCTCACATTCTTCTATATATAACTTTGAGGATGTGTGGCTTTGAAAGGAGCTCGACATCCTCACATTCTACGTCACCCTCGCATTCTTCGATATATAACTTTGAGGATGTGTGGCTTTGAAAGGAAAGTGTCGTTGGCTGTTGTTGGCTGAGGTGATCAGCCGGGCTGTTATCTGGCTAACCATTAGCATGTCAGCGTGTTGACTGTCTCGGCGTCAGCTCTGGGCTACAGAACCTGATGAATGTGCTTATAACCCATTTCTTTTGTTCAATAAAGCAATTGAGAGTGCACCGGCGGCTGTGTCTGTCCTTGACAACTTGCGGGTAAGCGATATTAAATGAGCTAATGACGTTTACGTTTACCTTGTGCCGGCGATCGTAGCCGTGGTGCGGAGGCCAGTTCTACTTTCACGATTGCTTCTTTCACGTTGTCTTCTTTTTGAGTTGTGTGAAATAATACACACACA